CAACTAACTGTAGAAAACAGCACATGCTTTAACCAAATCAGTTTTCCAGATATTATTATATAATTTGGCGTTCTATTCATAACACATATGCATCCTTGTTGCGTGTGATCTTTGAGCAAAGCTTGGATACAATTGATTAAGTCAATCCTGTTTTTGTGTTAGCAACATATTTAATGAATCGCAATAGATTTTAATGAAAACAAACGTCATTAAGTAGTTTTTGGATGTGCTTCGGCAACATATTATTTTTTTGGAGTAAATTCAATTCAAGGTAGTCACCATAGCTAATCAACGTTAGCCAAAACAAATACAGACATTAAGCTAAAATCTCATGTGGTAGTAGCTGAAAGTCATTTGCAATGCATATCCTGAGAGTGACATATCTGCATAATACTAGTGTTTGTGCAAAACAAAGTATTTTTAAGATTTGATCCTATGGTTACAACCTAATATAATTTAAAAATGCTGGAATGAAAATGGACAGGGTTATTTAGAGGTGAAAAATATAATGTAAAAAGTTGCTGGGAAGATCTTTGTTCAGTTTAATAGTTTTAAACAATGGTTTATTTTGTCTATATTCATAAAAAGTGTTAATATATATATTTTAAGAATTCGAGATAATTAAAAAAGTGCATCTGACCTATATTTTGAAAGCCACGTGCCGTGCAGAAGGTACAGTTTGACGTATGCAAAATCAATGTGGTCTTTTTTCATTAATATACCTTTGTTGTTTTATAATGCATCACAAACAACACAGTTGACTCTTTAATTATGCAGATAATATATTTAATATGTTTTACTTGTAATTATGCCATTTTTATTGTGACTCTGCGTCGCACCAAATATATATAAAGCTTTGAGTCGGAAGAACCTGCCATAAAACTGACTTTAAGTGTGCATGCATTGTGAATAAAAATAAACATCACAAAAAGAAAACAATAACTGCTGAACTATTTTCCATATTTTCAGCATATAATATATAATTTAATTATTATTTACCTTTTCTGGTATAGTCCGTAACATTTAAGTGTGATTATGTGCATAATTATGTCTGATAGCAGCCTGAATAAATGCTAGAAAGGGCGTGGAGGTTATTAGCTTGTTTGTATTTGTATGTATCGTTCGTGCCGACGTACGCGTCGCACCGCCGTATAAGTCGCATCATTCCAAAAATATCAAATAAAGTAAAAAAAAACATAAATAAATTGCTTTGCTGTACAAATCATATCTATTATACATCACCGCTGACCACCCAGAAATGTGGGTCGGTGTTGTGCAAAAAATAGATTGGCTGCCAAATGGCGGCCACGGGTGCGCGCACGGGAGGACTTTAACAATAATTTAACAAGATTAACACTTAAATATAAAATGCAGCTGATTTGATATCTGCTCCAGAAGTCTGGGAGCAAAATCAAGGTGGATCACTGTGGCAACCCATGCGTCTCATTGACAGCCATTTTTACTTATTAATGAGACACTTGGCTTTCCATTTTGCTCGAGGGCCCTCTAATGGCTGAAAATAGTAGTGTTCAATATTTTCCATAACAGAATGAATGAAATTGTCAGATCTCGGACAAAAAATGGTTTATAAATATGGGGTAAAAAAGTTTACTAGTCGATTCGGTGTTTAAGTCACAGGACTTGCAAAAGGATGTAAAAAGGTGCAACTTATACAGCGAAAAATATGTTAATAAGATAAATAAATCAATGTTATTTTAAGCACATATCTGTACAACATGCATATTTACATTATCTGTGACTCAAAAGCTCTGAATTAGAAGAGGCTATAATTTCAAAGGCTGTATTGTGTTATTGTATGTTTGCTATTAGCAGGCAAGCCTTCCTAACAGGTAAATTGTACCACATATAAGAAATATAAATCACAGTAGGCCTGACGACCATAATACTAGACAGTGAAAGGTTGATACAAGCAGACAGGATCTTCTAATATTGTCAAATGGCAGAGAAAAGAGAATTATATCCATAGCTGGATGTGGTGTCTAGTGAATGTGACGCACGCTCCTTTATGTGAAATGTCAACTGGACTTCCCCCTCGCTCTTGCCATGTCTCTTCAGCCAGCTGTGAGACAGCCATTTGAGTGTGTGTGTGAGTGTGTGCCTTGCTTGGCATTTTATCCAGCTGGCTGAGTGTGGCTTATGTGACGTTCAGGAGTGGACTCACAATGGCTACTTTTTTTTTTTTTTTTGGTCTGCTGTGTCACACTGGCTTTAAACCGTTGTCACAATTTTGAGTTCACAGTCACGGAGTCAAGATTGTGTAGGTCTGCATGAGACACAGCGTAAAGTAACTCAATTTGTAGATTTATTTCTTTTTCAGCTATGTATTTTCTTTCGGCTTTCACACACCAGATGTTTCATTAAGTGAGGCATCAACTTCAACGTCAATGTCATTGTATTCCTTGAGCCAGTGTGCAAAACATGACGATACAAGACTTATCAGAGATGCAGATTGTCTGATACACAGTCGAGTGTATTTTGGTGTAGTGTTACCAGCACAATAGCACTGGGATCGCTTTGTCAAAGGGATTAAATGGATTTACAACTCCGGATTAGACCCTAACCAGCTGGGTATATTTGTGAACGACGTACGTGTGTATGTGTGGATGGGGGTTGTTTTAATTGTTCCTGGTAGGTGATACTGCTGTTAAAGAGAAGCATCCTTTCATTGGAAAGCAACCAAATAAAACTTTATTCCATGTAGCCCTCTGAAGTTTGGATACAGATCAGTTCAGGAGATATCTCTACGCAGGTGAACACGGTTCATTAAAATTGTTTGTAGTGGACTCCTTGACCAAATCACATTCACAGAGTAGCGTTTTTGTCCCTGTGCTTTGATGAATTGTACGTAAATCAGCTGTTTTTTTTCCATTTTAGACTTGAAATACTGAGAGGATTTTATGCATGGATTGGAATTTCTTAAATAATACGGTGCATGTCTATGCACTTTGGTAACAGTTTCTGTTTTCAAAGTGCTATATAAATAAATCTGACGACTATGAAAGAATCAAATATAAGGAATAATTAGTGGTTGTTCTTCTAAATTATGTTTTAATCTGCTGAGAGGAAGGGAATCACTTCACAATTTATTGCATGCTACCTTAAATTATATTTCAGATCTTTTCTGGAAAGATTATGAACAGTTAATATCTCACCATGACTTTTTGAACAACCTCAATTTGGGGAAAAAAAAAAAAATGCTTATCAGGTTAAATAGCTAATGGCTTACATTAATACAATAACATTAATGGTTAAAAAAAAATCAATGATTGTAATAAAAAAATAGGGTTTTGATATTAGTAGATGCCTTTTTTTTTAATCCCATCTTCCTCATTTGTTCATTTGCAACTCATAGTTCCATGTTTGTTTGTTTTTTTTTTAATTTATGTACTTTAGTTTATTTTTTTTGCAAGGCTGTTATAACATATTGTTTTATTTGTTTGTTTGTTTGTTTAAAATCAGAGTGCTTTATATCGCAAAAAAATATATTTGCAACCCACATGCATGTTTTTGTGCTCTTTTACAATTTAAATCTAGCAGCCCTGTGTTGCAACAAAATGGACTCCCCTATTGCACAAATTACATTGTTTTTATGTAACTTTTATACATCAAATGCATATATTAAACCACACATTTCTTTTGGGGGCTTAAATAAATGAGGTACCACTGTGTTTGTCATGCATACTGAGAAATATTTTAAATTCAGAAACCCCATTGGAAGTCATATATAGAGAACTGAATCCTACCAAAATACTGCGTACATATCTGTTTTTTTTTTTGTTTTGTTTTTCTGAAATAGTGGTGGTTTGAATTGTTTTGTGCATGTTGTTTGATTTGGAAAGGGAACCAGTGGTCATGGTAAGTTTTGAGTCGACAATAAAATCATTTAAATCTGTGCATAAACAATTTTTGAAGAGGTAGGGATTCGTTTTGTAGTGAAAACTGTGCTTTCATCCCAGTCTGGTTGCATGGTGTTAGTGATGACACAGTTACTTTGTCTGTGTTTATTATAAACTGGACATTGCATGCTTGTGCATTCATGATGCTATTCTGTTCATTGTTTAAAAAAATAAAAAAAAATCACCTTTTTTGTCGTCATATTTTGTACCATTCATTATATGTTGCAGTTTCAACATGTAGGCTCCAACTAATAAAAAGAGTTGCTGACTGACTCATTTTCTTTATTTAGACAGGGTACTCTTATATGCTCTCACTGAATTATTTTACATGTTTCCAGCCTCATCATTTTGTTAAACCATTAAAACAATGCCCACAGGTAGCAGGATAATTACTTCACATATTTGCTGTTGCTTTACCAAAACGCAGCAGATTCTTTTATCAAAATGAATCTCACTTCCACAAAATGAACATTTACTTCCAAAATTAATGTTAGGGGCAATTTCATTTGGCAGGCAATCTCTTTATCCGTTACCAAAATACTGATGTCAGGATTTGTCACTGTGTCCAAATCTTTCTGTTCTGAAACATTTGAGGCTTTGCTTTTTACAACCAATTATTTTAGTTTTGGTAAAATTTCCAAGTAGTGGATTTCATCACGGAGAGCAGATTTGAATCAAAGTGAAATAAATATGTACATATCATTTATTGAGCATGTTGAGGCAAACATTTGTAGTGTCAATCAAGTTTAAATGAGCCAAACAGAGCAGGAGAAATCATCTTTAATATGCTGAGTTGTTTATTTTCTCAACTTCTGATGCCTTCTGATCTATAATGACAGTTTTGAGACCAAAATAGTGCAACAACGTCAAACCTGTCATCTATTCAGGGTCAGGTTTTTACCAAATAAGAGGTGGGGTTACAATATGGGACAGGCCAGTTTTTCCTAAGCAGGGCTTGCAGTAGATCACTTGCATGTGATGTTTAATGCCTTGCATGGTGACAACATGCAATGGCCTGTACTAGTCTGCATGCTGCTTAATGAATATCTTCCTTTCTCTCTCTTTGCCTGTCTGTGCATCCAGAAGACAACAACACTGAAGGTGGGTATTTCCATCATCCATTCTTACTCCATCTAATGTTCTTATGGCCAAGGCCTTTCAAACAAATGTATTTTTTACTGGTGACGGTACTCGCATAACTGGACTGGTAAGTGTGATTTATTAGATGTATGCTATATTTTTGTGATTTTGCCACATTTATTTCTCATTTTTAAAAAAATTTGCGTCCTAAATATTATAGCCAAAGTATCTATTTAAACATTAAAATGGATTTTATATGACACCATGATATGCTATCTCTCTATAACAGACTCGTAGAGGAGTATGATCATATTCATATTCACTTTTCTTGCATAAATATCCCTGTACACTCACTCTAATTACCTTTTAATATTAAGCATAAGGTCAATGACAGACAAGAATTACAAAAATCTGCACCGCTAGTAATACTCAATAACATTTCTAGCATCAATATTTTCTAAAAAAAAATATAGATAATTATTTAATTTCAACTTAAAATAATAAATCGAAAAGAACCACTAACCAATAAACGCAGTGATGTTCTGCACCTAAAAGTCATTGTTTATTTTTCTATTAACAAAAAGGAACAAAACCATCAAATAACTTGTTTTTAGCAAGAACTCTTTGAACCCCTTCTGGTACGGAGACGAAACGTCAATTAAGTTTCTGACTGTTGTGTAGTAAGTTGCTGATGACGCATTGCAACCTGCTTTGGTTGATTCAATGCTCATCCTGATAACCCTGTTTGTGCGTCCTCCTGTTGATCTCTTTCCCACTTTTCCCGTATCCCGACACCCCTTACATAACACAGACATCTACTTTGAAGGAGATGCCTGCATGTCAGTGTGACACAGTTTCCCATGATCCCTTGTTCTCTGCTGACTGTGCTCTTGTTTTCCTTTAAGGTCTGGCACACCTGATGATGGGCGACCAAGGTATGGGCTCTGTTCCTTTTCCTGTCATTCCTCCATTGATCCTTCTGCTCCCGTTGTGCTTAGAAATGTGTGTGTCACTAACCTGTGCAGGCTTGAAGCTTCCGATATGGGCTGCTGTTGTTTCTCTTATCTTCTTGACTGTCAGTCTTTATTTTTCACTTTATTCAGGCTCATCAGTCTCTTGAGTCTGTACTCTGTTGACAAGCCATGTCATTTCTTTCCATAAGTTCTTTATTTTTTAATTATTCACATTTACGGTACTTACTTGCGGTGGAGGTTCAAGTAAAGGGAGAATTGCATTAACGCAGTTTGGATGTAATATATGGTTGTGGGAAAGAGCTTCCTGACTTTTTAAGCTAATCCTCATCCAAACTCACTTCTGTAATGCATGTTGAGAGCATCTGCACAGATGCTTTGTCCATTCTACTGACATCCTTTCATTTGTGTGGATATTATCATGGTGCAGCAGAGCAGGGGTGGATTTTTTTTTTAATTTCCACTCCACAAGTCAGACTTCCATTCCCTTTTTTATATTTGCACATATCTGTAACCATCAATCTTCTCTCAACTGTCATCTGTCATTTAATGTTACTATAAAACTTATTGGTGTCTCCTCTTCCCATACACACACAGATAAACAGTAGTCCCTCGCTACATTGCGGTTCGTTTATCGTGGACTCGCTCTGTTGTGGTTTTTCAAAACAAGATTGGGCATGACAAACAATTGACTGATTGATGGATGAGCCGCATGATCGGCATGGGATTTTTATTTAGAATACATTATTTAAAATTATTTAGCACTTGCTGCACATTTGTGTAGCCCAGGGATGCAGAAAAAAAACTTCCTCCTGCACCTTTGTTCAGCCCATATATACTACAGGATAAAATTCCTGATGCAGCTGGTCAGCTGTTCACAGTGCAGAGTGGAGAAGTGTAT